TTCTTATTTATATGTTTCTTATTTATATATTTTTCTTAATTTATATAATTGAGTATTTTTATATATCGTATGATGTGGTAATGTGAGTTATTTATTATGTGTTTCTATGTGTTAAGGTTATATGGGTTTACATTTTGTGTTTATGAGTCATAAATGTGTAAATATCTGTTATATTTGAAGTATTTCTATGTATGTTATGTGTTATAATGTTATGTGTTTATAGTTTGTAAGTGGTTATGTTGTTTCCATGGCTTCAAAGTGTGGTGACTTGGCTAATTTTACACCAAGAGTGTTTTATTTGCTAGCCAAGTGGTGCAATGTCATGATGAAACACATAATAAAATCTGTTTGTAGTAAGTGTAATCATAAAATGTGTAATTTTTAATTAAATAACATAATTTAATAAATATTTCTTATAGCCAGTACAGTTGTTGCAACAGCATCAGCATCACCAAGCCCCAACAGCAACGGGAGTGACATTGATTAATTCCTTTTATTGTATTTTTAATTTTTTATATAGTTTCCAACTACTTTTTCTTTTCCAGTTCAATCAATGTAATAAGTCAAATATAAGTGAGTACAATAATTTAGCTGCTGTACTTACTTATTACATAGATTGATGTTTGTGTGTGTAATTTTTTTATGTAACTGCAGCTTCTTCTGTTACAACAAGAAAGTTGTTGTACTCACTTATACTTAAATTATTACATTGATTGATTGTTTTTTTAAATATATATATACATATATATAAATATAAATATAAATATATATATATAAATACATATATATATATATATATATATATATATATATATATATATATATATATATATATATATATATATATATATATATATATATATATATATATATATATTTATATATATATGTATATATATATATACCACGGCTGTTTCAAAGTGAGCTTTACGGCTTCGTTTTTTTTTTTTTAAATAACCACTTAATAGGTATTACTAAAACTTTTTAAAATTTTTAAATATTAGAGATAATTTTGTTCTGTGAAAAGAATATAAACACCAATAAAATGTTTTACCATATGCCATTAAATGAATGATTGAAAACTTTCTTTGATTTTACATAAAATGCGCCAAATGATGAGCTTGGCTAAATTTTAGTAATTTGTTGTCACTTTTTGTCAAAAAAAAATTAAAAAAGTATATTTTAAATAATAATTATTAAATATACACATTGTAAGACCACTTTAACTTAAAAAGAAATTTATTCAAACTCTAAACCGAAACAGGCAATATTTATGTCAGTAAAGCAAACGATTCTAAACCGAAACAGGCAATATTTATGTCAGTAAAGCAAATCGCTACTTTTTTACTCGTAAAATATTAAAGGTCACGTGATTGTTTTAAAATGTAAACAAAAATATACGCATAAAAATAGACAAAATGTTGTAAACCAGTCATGTTTGAAGACATATTTGGTAACATAAGCTAGAGGTATAAATAACAATTTTTGGATTTTCGTTTTGTAAAAATCGCCAAAAACACATATATATATATAGTGTTTTTGTAAGCATTTGCTCACTTTTTTTGCTTACCTTAACCAATACCGCTTTTTTAGAAAAAGAAGGAAAAAAAACGAAGAATGATGAATGAAACGATTGCTGCCCCATCCCAAACCTTCAGTCGATATAGCAGCACTCCACTGCGAGTCAGGCTATTTGTCAATTGATGTATGTACTGAAACCCCCAGCAGCAGGCTATTTCAGTATGACATCAGATTGGTTACCTTTGTACCAGGGCTGTGGAGTTGGAGTCGGAGTTGCGACAATTTTAGCGGAGTTGGAGTCGCTAAAAAATATCGCGACTCCGACTCCGATAGTAATATTTCTTGGTATTGCACGTGTATGTACAAAACATTCAATTAACCTTATGTTCATACTAAACTTCAAAGAATGTTGCATTAATTTGTCAAAAAAATAAAATTTCAACTTATCGCGCAATTTTTTAAAAAGAATTCAAAGAATTTTTCAAAAATTTTGCTTTGGAGTTGGAGTTGTACTCAAAAAATTTCAACAACTGGAGTCGGAGTGGTTACTTTTTTTTTACGACTCCACACCCCTGCTTAGTACGCAATACTATTTGTATATATATTTATATACTCAATTTTTATTGTATTGCCCCTAGCATCCGGGATACATCACAGACGGCCCTCCATTGATAGTGCCACTATGAGGAAAATAATCCATTTTTTAGATGGAGGGTTGCCCCCCACCCCCACCCCTAAAAGGCACAAGAGGATGCTGGGAGGAGAATAAGAAGTGGCTTAAAAAGTTATAAATATCTTTGACTTTTAAGACATTTCTAACTTTTAAGTTGTTTTTAAGTTGTTTTTTTTTTGAAATATATTTTTCTTTATAAATTTGATGTTGTTTTTCAATTTTTCTTATTAATTTTAATGCCATCCAATTAAATCATTTAATAAGACACATTTATTAAAGATAATCAATGGCAATATTTATATTTTTAAGTGTTTCTATGTGTGTGCAGTAAGTAGGTAAAATATGTACAATAAACTCTGGATAACTCTATAACAAACTGGATAACTGTACAATAAACTGGATAACCCTTAATAACTTGAACTAATTTTAAAATTTCAGTTGAGCATTAATTTATGGATCATACTCCAAATAACTCTAACATTCTCTTGGGTTCTTAAAGGTTTGAGTTATTGAGAATTTACTGTAATATGTTATGCTATTTGTTAATTTTGTGATACTATTGTTGTGTTGTTTTGTGTTGATAGACGACTTGGCTTACCTTCATGCCAGTGTCTACAGTTAGAAATGATTATTAGGAAATTTCATTACTGAAACTGACAACATATAACCATTCACTAAAAGCCAAGAATTCAGTTTTTAAATAAATACATAAAGGTTTTTCTTATTGTGATTATTTATTTTTAGCCTTGTTTTTTAAAAAGAGTTGTTAATTTAAACTTGCAACAATAAACGTTGAAACTTTCACAAAGAAAAACAACCTCAAAAAGTATGTTTTTTATTTGTTATATGTTAAGTCACATTTTTGAGTTTTCAAATAAATAAATAGAGTATATAACACATTAATGTGCAACAAATGTTTTCAATAATTTGTTCCATTATTAGGTCTAGAGTTTCCATGGTTTTTAATACTGGTAATAAAAACCGGTATTCAACTAAATTTTTAAAATACTTAAACCATTTCCCAATACTGGTTTTTTATGGTTTTTAAAATTTTAATAATTTGAACTTAATAAAGATTTGCATTAATGTACTTTTTGTGTTAGTATTTTGTAAATGAATGACAAAAAATAGAAGTTATTTTTTTATGCTGTTCGCAAATCACTAGTTTATTTATATTTTTTTATCAATTAGTTACTTGTAATTATTGCAACACTACGATTCCCCTTATACAATTTGTAAAACTATTTTTGGAAAAGTATTAACAATTACAACATTACAAATTCTTTGGACATTATTTCCACATGAAAAAGTTTACGAATGAAGGTATAAATAGCTGTAGCGTTATTTTATATTTTTATAATAATAGTTTATATATAAGAAACAATAAATAGTTTAGTATTATAAAAATTATACATTTAATCATAGTATTATAAAAATTATACATTTAATCACAGTAATTTTATTTGCGTTATATTTTTTATACTTTACTTTATATATATAACTAATAAAAGACTAGTACAAAAAAAAAAAAAAAATGCTAAAACAGAGCTCTTTTGTCTGGAAATATTTCACAAAATCATACAATTCAGCTAGTAAAGAAAAATGTACCCTGTGTAATTCTTTCCTAAAATGCAAAGGTTCGAGCACATCTGGTCTGATTACCCACTTGATTATATCTGATTAACCACATGAGAAATATCCATAGTATAATATTAAAAAATAAGAAGTTAGATAAAACACCTGCTGCAGAAGTTCTGAAAAAACAAATAAAAGACAGATTCTTTAAATGTAAAACCTTGGCTGAATGGCTAGCAAAATGTGCCACAAAGAATGGCATGTCTTTAAGAACAATTAAATCCAATGCGATACATGAGTTTATTCAGAAATATGGTTTCCAAATGCCAGAAAATTAATCCACAGTCGCAAAACTAATAATGTGGTTTTACCATATAAAAAAAACAAAACAAGAGCTGTGTGATGAAATTTCTGTTTTGAAAAATGTGGTGAAAAGTTTAGCATAAAAGCTGATGAATTGAATGAGATCTCCATTAAAAGGTATATAAATGTAACTCTTCACAATAAAGTTGATAAATTTAAACTTGATGGTTAAAGTTGCTTATAATTAAACTTGATGGTTCCTGTGATGCGAAGAATTACTGAAAAAAATTGACAGAATTTGGGTTAGATTTTATGTACATATCTACTCACAATGGTGCTGCAGTAATGCAAAAAAATGGACGGATAATTCCTGTAAAGTCAACTGTGCTACAACCACGATATCTGGCCAATTTTTTCTACAAAAATTTACATACCAGCGACAACCAAACATGTTTGAGTGGCGAATCAAGTGAAGAAGATGCCAATGAATATGATAATGCAAACGATTCCAAAGAACATCTTTTTAATCGTACTTCGGAAGAAGATAATGATTCTCAGAATTGTAACAATTTCCTGTTTTGCAGAAGTGGAGAGAGAAAAATGAACTTAATATGCTCAGCTTAACTGTGTCTAATATATTGAATATAATGACTATTAACCTAATCAGTTTATCTCTGAAAGAGTGAGATCCCGTTACTCTAATAAGTGGCTCAGAATTTATCACTTTGCTGATGATACATGGATAAATGCATAGAAAATTGCAATAAAGGAAGCAAATCAAGAAGCAATATGGAAATATCTTAAATAATTCTTGGAAATAACAACAGTAAAGTAAAAAACTTTTAAAAAAAGTCTACAATTGAATTTTATTCTTGCTAAAGGGCTTAAACATCTGTATAATTAAAAATTTAAATCCAAATAAACTTACGGATGTTCAACTAAACTCTCAAATCCTCCCAAACTTTCAGCCAAACAAAATATCTAAAAGATTTGTTGCTTATTCAATTTTTTAAATCTTCAAGCATCTTAATAATGAAACTCTAACTTCAAAAAATTACAAACTTTTCGAAAAAACCATGGTTACCTTGACTGATTTCAAAAAAGTATTTGCTTGTGTTAGCCCTCCTTTAATATGGAAGGCTATCATTCCACTATACCCTGAACACTGTTTGTTAACTAAATCGTGTTGAGGGTGAGACTTCAATCCTTTTAGAAAAAAAATTAAAATTTTTCTACATAAAATTTTGCTACATAAGTTTTTGTAAAAGAAACTTCACTTTTTAAGTAATTACCAGGGTAGATGACCTTTTCAACCATTGGATGACTCTCTAAAAATGTTGCCACTGCCATAGCATTTTTCATATGTTTTTCCATTCTCACATGCAATGTTTTGGAGCCACGATTTGCCAAGAAGCAATCAAATGGACTTGGTACACAACCAGCAGCTAAATAAAAAAAATCTTATGATTACTTTCATTATATTAAAGGGATTTCAGTATAGAAAAGATGGGATGGAAGCAAAGGGGCTTAGGATAAACATGAACAAGACAAAAGTTTATTATTAAGTCAAGCATGAGCAATTCAATAATACTGAAAAGTGGCCAAGTTGCGTGTGTAGTATAAGAGTCTATTCTGTTTACAGTTGTTAAGTAATTGGTTCACAAGATATGTAGGTGAATACAAGGTGCTTTAAATAATGTTAATTATTTTTATTTATTTGCAAAACAATTATAGTTTAATAAAAGTTTAATAAAAATATTTAAAAGGATCCCAATCCTCCAAGACATGTTGTGTTCATATTAAAGAAAATGATAAAAAAAAATTGTTTGGGCTAAATTTTTTTGATTAAAACAAAAGAATAAATGCATACAAAGAAAAACTAACTTTTTTATTTTAGTCGAAGCTCGCCTTCTTCGTTTTGTTGTAGGCCAAAAAGTCAGCATAATATACGCCACAATCTGTGTAAAAAATCGATTATTTGAACAAACAAAAAAACCAATGACATCATGCTCTTAGGAATAAAACGTGCTTGAGCGAATTTCTGAATACAAGTCTGTAGATTGCGAAGTATATTATGCTGACTTTTTGGCCTACAGCAAAATTGGTGAGCTTCAACTAAAATAAAAAAATTAGTTTTTCTTGCTATGCATTTTGTTTTAATCAAAAAAATTTAAATCAAACATTATTTTTTTATCATTCTCTTTAATATGAACACAACATGTCTCTGAGGTTTGGGATCTCTTTAAATATTTTTAACAAATTTTTTTCCGCGTTAGAATATAATTTGTATTTTATTATTTGAATTGTGGCATTATTTTTTTATGTTATAATACAACTTGTATTATTATATTATTTGTAATTAAATGTTGTATTTTTAAACAATTTTTTTTTAGGTTATTGTCAATAATTTTCAAAATTTCATTTTATTGCTCAAAAATAATATTATAAAAAAGTTAAAATCAACTTTTTACAACTAGATGCTCTTCTTGATAATAACCTGTTTTGCAAATCAGAACGGAGTATTTTATTGCGATACTATCACTTGGTATTTTATTGTGCGATATCATCAATTGGAAGATTATCATCCGAGCTTTACAAGCTCTTTCTACCTTATCCAAAACTAATTTGGGGATTTTTTTACACTTACCCAAAGCTAATTAGCAGGTTTTTTATGAGTTTTTTCTTCAAGATTATGGTAATCTTCATAACAGCTAATGAGCCATATTATTATTGTTAAGTCATTAATTATTTACTTAATAACTGTGAATGTATTATAAAAAAAGTTTTAACTTTTTTAAAATTTAAAACATTACCTTTGTATTCTAACTTAAGGGCCATATTTTTAATTATAAAAAATTGATGATGCCACTGACTATAATCCATAGAAAAATTTTTAAATAAATAAAATAAATAGTTGTGAGAACTAATAATTGATGTTTTTTGTTTTAAATGTATACACACACAAATGAATATATAACTGATACTAATGTATATTACTTATAGTAAAAACTTAACTCCTTGTCTCTAGCTCTTTGTGTTTTATGTATACTTATTTAAGTATGCTTTATGTAAATAACCATTAAAATAATTAAGGAAACAAATAATTAGGAAAAAAAAAAATAATAATAATCGCAACTACAACATTTTTGTTTTTTTTACATTCAGAATATATATTTTAAAAATAATTTTATTATTCAATTTCTTTCTTTTATATAATTGTTTTTTTATTGACTAGATTTTTTTAGAGATTAGTGCAGCAGAGTGTACATACATCAATTGATTTAAATAAGTAGAACATGCAGGGAGTGTATATATATCGACAGACTTGAATAAGTAGAATGTGAAGACTCTCTACATGTACATACGTCAAATTACTTAAATAGGGAAAATGTGTAGACTACATCAAATGAGGGATTTTTGGAATTGGA